ACACACACACACACACACACATACATGTGAACACCTACACAAACTGAGAAATTCACCTTCGCACAAGTACAGAAAAATGCAGTCCCAGTCGAAGTCATTCCCTAACTTCCCCCTCATGCTGCATTATTTAGAGAATCAGCGCCTGCAAACATGGTAAACAAGAGCGTGTTGGGTTGTGTGAAGCGATAATGGGGCCGGGCAATGGAGCCATGCAGGAACACAAGCGCTCTTTAGCAACCAAAACTGCTCGAAGGTCTATTTCCTCAACTGTCATGAGATCAAGCTTCATAACTTTACACACATGTTCGTGCTCTTGCTGCAGACGTTTTCTTTCTGTTCATAAATACAAGCAAAGAGTCAAATGATGGTGGAAATGAAAAGGCCCAGAAGACCTGAACCTCTGTGTGAAGTGACTGTTGATATCTTGAATTGGAATATCAGTCATACAACTGCAAAGAGATGCATTGTTGGTTTAAAAAAAATACCACAAAAAGACTTATATTGACTCTTAAGTGACACAAAACTACTTAATGTGGCACAAACAACCTCAAATACACCAAACTACAAAAGAGATGCAAAATTAAACACAACAGCCACAAAGAGACAGACAAAACGACTGCGAGGAGATGCAGAAGAAACACAGCAACATGCAAAACCTCCACAGACACCAACAAGGCACGACTAGACACAAAATGAAATGCAGATACACCACATAGACAAAAAATAGAAAAAATACTTTAAACAAGAACAAAGAGAATAACTGAATAATTTAAAAAAAGTGAAACTCAACTACTAAACCGTCAAAATGACTAAAAAGATGCAAAGTAACAACTGAGAGACACAAAACAAATGAAAAGCAACACAGTTAATGATTAAAGACGCAAAATGACTAAGAATGGAAAAACCAACGGGGGCTGGGGGCCTTAAACATGTCTCTGCTCAGGGGCCCACTCTCGTTCCATGATCACAGTACGTTCAAATTCTTAGTGAAGTCTCTCTTTATGAATCACTTTGATTTTAACTTTAGTGAAATGCTCAAGCTGATTTCCTCAGAACTGTACTTATATAAATCAATGAATATGAATGTTACTCTTCACATGTGCAATGACTCACAACACAGTTCGAGCGTGTTCATCTTCAGGCCGCTTTTAGACGTGTATCGTGACGGCCGTCGGAATGTGCGGCGAAGGCTCGGCTGTAAAGTGGAGCGATCGGGCCCGTCTGGCCCCGGCGAGGCATGCATGCGCTGATAAATATAGCTGCCGCTGAGGCAAGTCTAAATACAAGGCTCGTCTTTGCTTTAATAGATGGGTGTCGCTAACCTATGGTGCAATCACGTTGGATTCCACAGAAATATTTCTGCACAGCGGCAAACAAACAAAGCAAAAACAAAAGCGTGGGACAGGCAATGCTAATCATGAGGCATGGCTCGGCGTCTGTGGCCAGGGCAGTGGAGATGTTGTGTGTGTGTGTGTGTGCGCGTGTGTGTGTGTTCGTGCAAAGCAATGACTGCAACAACCACCACTGACCCTTATGGACCACAGGACCTCTGCACAGTGAGACAAAAACCAATCATTGTGTGTGTGTGTGTGTGTACGTGCAGAGTGAATCGGGTGATATTTATGACCAGGGATTATCCTGAGGACACTCTGCAGAGTCCAAAGGTCGCTCTGCTGTCTCTCCGTGTTTCTGGGCGCATCATTAACCAACATTTAACTGCTGGCTTATGAGTACAATTTAACAACCTGGGCCGTCCCATTGTGTATAAGTCACACAACGCACCCATCCACTACTGTCTCTTCCCTCCAATATCCGGACTGTTAAACCTTTATTTATCAACCAATGAAATGGCAATAATCATCTGATAAAAGTGCACTTGGGCACCTTTGTCAATAAAATGCACATGTGTCTCATGAGTCCATAGGCCTTTGTTAAAACGGGGATGTGCTTATGGAGGCGCTTTTCTTCTCACACACACACACAGACACACTCAGAAGTCATCAGCTGCCACAGCCTGCAGTGATTTGCAGGGCAGCTGTTGTAATAGAGTGGGTTATTGTGAAACAGTTTACACACACAATTACTATTAATACCAAAGACACATGTGCCTCCGCTATTTACCCAGCTCACCCTGTATGCCATCTTTTGGACGTGAAGCGCGACTGATTAGGCTGCGGTGTGTGTGTGTGTGTGTAAAGTGTGTGAATTGTGTGTTTGTGTCTGTTTGAGGGAGAAAGACGAAGCTAAGAGGCAGGAAGCAGCGTAGCGTGAGGGACGCACCTGTTAGGGACTCGCAGAGGAACAGGCCTAAGACGCTAACATCCACAAAATCCAAACATCCCACAGGCAGGTCCTCACACAGTCTGCAGTGATCCTGCAAGTCGAGGGTGAGGGTGAAGTGGTGATTAAAGGGTCGTTGTGGTTGTTTTTGTCTGATGCCTGGACTGTCAATCAAAGTTTTCTCTGAACATCAGCGATTGCGTTGTCACCACAACATCAGTGGTGAAGCAGGTCAGTGGGATATGAGGGTGATTTGCAGGAGTGTGATGCAGCAGGTGTTTCAGCTCCTGTGCAGCAATGAAACATCATAAAAAAACAAATGCTGAGAGTCAGATCGTAAAAGTCACACCCCATCGACAAATACACAATCCTGTACATATGTGACTGTTAAGTCATCAGTCCAGTAATCATTGACTTCTCCTCATCTGACCACGTTAGAGTCAGTCTTCCACTCTGTCTCCCTCCTGTCTTTCCCTACAATGGCTCGTGTTGTCCTTTTCTCTTTCCTCCCTCTTCCCCCTTTCAATATTCTCCTTCTGCTGTCTCTTCCTTCTTCCTTTCCTATTCCCTTGTTCCCTGGATGCCAGAGTGGACCAGATGCCAGTTCAGGGGACCCTCAAACCCCCCGCCTCCCCATCGCTCCAGACAAACACACGCACACATACACGGCAACATATTGGTACATAATTAATGAAATTAGCTGCTTTATCTGCTATGAAGAGCCCTGCTTGTGTCTCTGGCTGAGTGGAGAGAGACAGATAGGGTGGGGTGGGGGGGGTGAAACGGAGAGAAGGAGGTAGAGATTGATGAGAAAGACACAACTGATTAACAGGAGTGGCAGTTATGAGTAGAGACACGCAAACATGCAATGCTACAACTGAGCGACACGGAAAATAACTGGTGAAAAGTTTGTGAACATGAAGAATGGTGCATCCTTCAATATTAAAACACAAAATGAGATCAACAACATCAGCTGTTGTGATTAGAGCCCGACAGATAACGCTGATACTACCAGCTGATATGAGCCGTTCACAGACATATTGGTTGTCACCCTTCACGATATGGTTTTATTAGCTGCTGGTTTGAAGCCTCGAGTAGATTTCTTTGTCATTAAGGTTCGATCATCTCTTTGGAAACGATGCATAAACAGGAACTGAGAAGTGGAGGTCAGTGATTTATGCTGGACATGGAAGTGCACACGGCCTCAGTGGCTGTAAGTGAGAGCAGGGTTGCCAGATATTTGATTAACCCCCCATTAGCATGTGCAGTGTTTGTCCTCTTTGTGATTGTGATGACAGTAATTGTGTCTGGTGGACGTCTGTCGCAGAGAAAACAGCTTCACCCCTGCACGGTCACATCTTAACAGGCTTTCTCTGAAAATGAGAAAAATCAGTTTCAGCTCTGTAATAATCAGTGCATGGTATTAATCTCTATCTTCAACACGCTGAGGAATATTTACACCAGCTCTGCTACTAGTCCTCTGGGTGTCTTTAGTCATCCTGCGTGGTTCCTGTCCCACCCTGCCTCAGTGTTAACACACACACACACACACACACACACGTACACACGTACACATATCAACTGTGGTTTAGACAAGGTGAGTAAATTGTTTTTTATTCTTGAGGTATTTATCAACCCTGGTGCCGCCCGTTGAACCAGTGGCTTCCGTAATGCATCTGATTAATGGCTGCTTATTAACAAAAGCTCTGTTGTTCGGGCCCTGAGGGCTCTTTGTAATTCTAGAGCTCAGTGCTGATATAATGGCCTATTTTAGGAGCTCCGTGATTAAGCGCCATTAAGCGGCGGGCAAAGCCAGGCTTTGGACAACTTCAATGGCAGCCAACGTAAACGCAATCGTGTCCCCAGAGTCCCTCCATCCCTCTCTGTCTTTCTCACTCCGTCTCTCCCTCTGTCTGTCTGCCTCTGTTATTGGAACAGAGCGCCGTATTTATATTGAGTTTGGGGAAAGATTCTCAGGGGGACAAATTTTGTTCAAACAGTAAAGACATATCGCGTCACTAGCCATTGGCGAAATGGGAAATCCATGCCGTGGAGGGAGTATGCAGAGAGCCCGCTGTGGAAAGTTATGACACTGTATTAATCTGCTCATGCATCTTTGAGTCTGTGCAGAGCTCGTAATGAAAGAAGGGACGTGAGGAGCGGGTCTGACTCCGGGCCGAGCTGCAGCTCTACACATGGACTGCAATATCTGAGAATTTAAAAACGCTGGTTCCATTTTCTCCTCACCTGCATGCTAATCTGGTTAGCCTGAGTTCAGACCAGAGTCAGATACAACAGAGGAAACTGACGCTCTCGCACAGCTCAGATTCAGACTTACCTCCTGAAAAACGTTAGCTATGCTCGAAACAACGAGTCGTCGATTTCAGGCCAACTTCATCTGTCAGATTTGAACAGTTCCAGAACACAGACACATCTCCCCAGAGGTGAAGCCAAAACATCTTGATAGCTCCCCGGTGGCTGGGCTGAAGTAGCCTATTGGTCATAAATAGTTCTGCCTCCCTGTAAACTTGCATCATAATGTCCGTTCACATCCAGGAAGAAACCACAGTTATGTTGTGTTACTTGTTTAGAAAGTGCTTCATTACAAAAGTTTCTTTTAAATTGGGCTAAGAAAATAAAAGCACACTAGCCCTTTTAGCCTGTGGTCCATTGCTCTTTCTCAACAGGAAGACTCTTCACCCTTCCTGCTGCCTCCCCTCTCTCCCTCCCCCCCCCTTCTATCCCACCCTTCATCTCTCCCCAGACCCTGGCGTTCTCCCGTGGCTCCTCTGGGGAGGGCGGTAATAATTATTATGTAAATAAATACGCCTGCTGTAATCACATTCGTGCCACTGATCCAATTAGAGAGCTGATAGCAGGCGGCTGATTGCGTGGACTGGCGGCTGATGGTCAGGGCCTGTGTGTCTGTCTGGCTGGTCGAGCTAACTGGCGGAGCGAGCATTAGCGGGCCAGCAGACTGGCGTAATGAAAGCCGTTTGGTGCCGCGCTGCATGCAGTCATGTACTCTAAATAATGCTCTTTGACCAGGACCCTGCACGTCTGCCAGCCTCGCAGTCGTCTCTCACTGAGGTGCACTGTGCACGTGTCTGTATTCCTGCTATCATGATGCCTGGCTCTGGATCACTTTCACCATGCATCAGCTTATCACCAATTACTGTCTTGTTGTGATTCTCATCAGCTTAATGATGCTCCACTGAGACCGTCATCGTCAGGGCTCTATCAGCCTCACCCCTCACCCTCCATCTATACTCAGCTCCCTGTCCACTTGTCTTTCTTTTACACACTGCATGACATTATTTATCATGTTTGGGATAGAAGAAGCATTGTTTTAGGAGTAGGGGTCTCACTTTCCAACTTTCTTAATCGTTGTTTTGTCTCATCGGGTTGTCGATTAAATAAAAAATGCCGTCTCTCTGTGCAAGAATCTTCAGATTGTTAATAGAACTTTAATTTATTCCCTCTTCTGTGAATGTGAGTCACGTGAGATAGATTTTTAGCAACAATAGTTGTGAAGACAACTCCCATGATTCAATGCTGCTTCACAGTGTCATCAAACTAGGTCTTTTGTTTTTAAGACCTTTAAAAGCAATCGTATCTAAAATCTAAACATTTGAACACATCATTGTGATAAAAACTGCCTAAAATATTTGGAGAAATTTGACGTGTACTTTTATTTTTTTGCTTTGGTCCATGTCCCATCTGCTAACATGGAGAAGACAGGGTTTATATAACCTATGCTGCAGCCAGCCACCAGGGGGTAATCGCAGTGTTTTTGGTTTCACCTTGAGAAGCCATTATGTATTTACATTTATCAATTGACAACTGACAGTGGCTGGTTGGAAATTTGCAGCTAATCAGCCAAGTAGTATCAGTATCAGTAAAAATCCACATTGGTCGACCGTGATTATAGAAGCTACATGTTTCCAGTCCTGTCAGAATTATGAGGCCTCGAGTTTCCATTGTTCCATTCGAGTGTGTTAACTCCAAACTATACTCTGTAGAGCTCAGAAGATAAAATGTTCTCATGTAACAGACCTTTATTGTATATTTCTAATTCTGGATTCGCTTCAAGAGACTTTTCAAACCATCACCTCAGTGTTTGTCTTTTTTGGGCAAAAGCAGGAACTCTTGACTGGTTTGCACCGTTTTAAACACGAGGGGGGCGAAAGTTGAATCTGGGCAGGAAAGCCGTTCTGAATATGATAACTCTTTACATTAATGGACGCCACAATCCGGGAGGGCCTGTGTGAAATATGTCAGTTTTGTGGCAGTGTCATTGCGCTGCCAGCCGTGGACCATATACTTTCCAAGGGTGTGGGCACGAACGGTTAAAACGAGGGAGGGGGCATTAGTTCTAACCTCTCCATTTGCCCAGGGGCCATACTCCCACCACCATGTGTCGGCTGAGTAGACTACTGTTAATGTTGGGAAGTAATGTATGGGTCCCAGTGCTAACTCCCTGCCTTTTACATCTCAATCAGGTCACTCTAGTTTATTTATATATTGTCAGGGGGCGGGGGGGGGCAGCACAGGGGCTAAGAGATGAATGTGGCAGTTTTTTTTTTCTCTCTCTCTCCCTCTCTCTCTCTATTTAGTTAGCAAAAAGCTTTTATAATGAATTTGAAAGGCGGCACAGATCCAAGCGTTTGAAATTCCCAGAGCACTGCTAAGTGAAAGAAGGGGAGGCGGGCGAGGGGGGGGGGGGCAGAGAAAGGAAGAGAGAAGCGAAAGAAATAAAATGCATTAACTCCCAAAATGTGGAATGGATTTGAAAAGAAAAATCAAAATTAATACATCTTCATTTTTTCCCCATGCTGTTTTCTTTCCTCGTTTCTTCATTATTATTTTCCTTCCCTGCTCTGTCTCCCCTCCCTCCTCCCGCCGCCCGCTACGTTTTGCTCTTACCCAGTCGGTCGCACGCTATTAAACAAACAGTCCTAATATTTTGAGCTGGCTGGCAGTTTGAATTTCATCTCGCCGACGCATCTTGTTTCTCTCAAGCCCTGACTGTTTTGACATGCGCCCCGATTAAATTATAAACAAGCAGGCCTCCTGATGGTGATGCTGGAGCCACTAATTTCCCTAATTGTTTGCAGTTGTCTGGGGGGGGAGGCTATGAGGCCCGGGCCTGATCCCACTGACTGGCACGGCCTAGTTAAAGGAAAAAGAAGAAGAAGAGGAAGAAGGAGGGAGGGAGGGAGGAGAGGAAAAGAGCGAAGAAGCGAGGAGACGGAGGCAGGTAGAGTAGAGAGGAAAAAGGAACGAGGAAGGCAAGAAATAAGGGTGAAGGTCCAATTAGGACTTCCGCACTTGGCTTCAAACACACCCATTAGTGACCAAAATGGCTGACCTAGAGAGCAGTGGAAAAGTGAACGTACACATACTGGAAAAAACATTAAAATAACATTACTTTATTAGGCTGTTAATACCAATTCATCCCTACAGAGGAGGAACTAGTTTTAAACCTGCACTGACTGAGGTTTTTGGCCACTTGGGGGCCCCGTGTAAATCATTGAGTTTACACAGTGAACTTGTTGATTAACTTAATAACCAGGTTTGACAGCAAAAAAATAAATGTTAATATAAGAGCAATAACAACTTTAAAAATAAATCTGCTATTGAATCACATCACATATACCTGTTTATTTAAATGAAACTATAAGAGAAGTTTGCAACAGACTAAATATTTAAAAGTCTTGATTTGTATTGTTGAATTGTAGTGAGGTAAATTACACACGTCTGTACGGTAATTGCTGTATTTCAGTAAATGTTGCCTTATATTCCACCATTTGTGTTGAGGTGGTTGCGGGGGTTAGGTTAACATATAATGAGGCCAGGAAAAAAAAAAGTGGGCAATAACACAAACGGATCACTCCCCTGTTTCTCATTCTCAGACGTCATTTTGTTTCCCTCTTTGCCCTTCTCACCTTCGGTTCAGATCCAATGTCACATGTGGCCGAGTTCCAGCCATCACCAATCACAACACGTCGCTCCAGCCCATGATATCATCTGCTGGCAGCGTGTCCCCCAGTCTCTGCAGCGGGGCAGCCCACTCAAACAAGCCCACTGTGTGACACAATGACTCACTCACATACTAACGCTGCTAAAAAGTAAAAAAAAAAAAAAGAAAGAAACATATAAACAGGGGCATTATTTCAAATACGCAGCCTCCTCAGCTCTGCTCTGTGGAGCTGCACTCATATGTTGGGCTTTTTTTAAATTTCCAGGCCTGTATCAGCTCAGTTATACGAGATAAACGAGAACACAAACAAAATGAGAGGAAATATGTAGATTTTTTTTTTTTTTTTTGCTCTTTTTCTATGTGTGTGTCCTTTTCCAGACGGGAGTGTGATGAAAGACTTCTGGGTGGAGCTGTGAATGTTATCCATGCTGGCATCAACAGACAGGCATCGTTACCTGGCAGACAGGAGGGCAGTCATATCGCTGCCGTCATCACCCAATCACTGGTACCGTCTGTGTGTGTGTGTGTGTGTGTGTGTTTGTACATGCCCAATGATGGCTAATTTAGCGTGACAGTAGAGATGGCTGGTATTGTTGCTGAGCAGGTGAGCTAATACACCTTTTTCTACACAGAGGTGAGATCTGAGGTTAAACACGTACACAAACTCAAAAATCAAAGTGATGATGACCTGTTTAAAATCACACGGGCAGAATGAAATAACAAGGACAGGAAGTAGACTCGGCATCAGCACATCCTAAAATCATCAGAAAAATGTGTGTTCAATAATAATTTAAAAAATATCCACTGCAATAGTGAAGGGTCCTGAATAAAAAAGCACCTTTACAGTTCAGTTTTGCCTTTCACCATTTTACACACATTCATGCATCAAGCACTTAGCTGTCAGGGGTGATTTGGGGTTCAGTATCTTTCCGCTTTCACTTCTGGTTAGTGGACAACCCACTCTTCCCCCCGAGCCACAGCCGGCCCACAAAGTGATGTGGTCTCACTTTTTAGAAGGTTTAGTAATAAAAAGACAAAACCCAAACTTCCTGTAATTGTGAAGTTGGATTTGTGGGACGATCAAAAACAACATCACAATATTCTTCTTTTTACTTTTATTGATTAACAAAGATTTATACATTTAATAACAAGTATTGGGAAGGAAACATGTTTCTCAAAATATAAACAGATTATGTTTCTGATGTGTAGCAGTGACATAAACTGGTCAATTTTAGTTTGAAGTTCCCACTGAATAAAACAAATTTAGGTTTGTTATGATTCTAAACTATAACTTGTGTTTGAATGTGTTGTCACTTGGGGGCTGAAGTAAATGGCACAGAAAAAAGAAAGTATAGCAGATAAACAGTTGTAAAGTGTTAAAGAGCAACAGCAGAAAGAGAAGTATGCTAACAGCTGCAGACTCTTCGTGCTGTTTAATAACGAGACGCATCCTCTCTTCTGTGTTATCTGCTCTTCTTCTCTCATTTTATCTCTCACCCCATCTCAGAGGAGTTGTTTATCTCTGTGTGTGTGTGTGTGAGAGAAATACTGCTCCGTCAACAATTTCAGCGGAAGGAGCCCCATTATGTGACAGCTTGTGGTGATGAATATTGAATACACTGTGTGCCCACGCCAATGTCTGCAAGTGTGTGCGAGTGTGTCGCCTTGGTAAAAATACGTGATAAGATGTGAATGATAATTTCTCAGGGAGGAGAATGCATGCAATATAGAAGCTGCGTGCTCATCTTGATTTTAGTTCATTAACAAGCACAGACTCGAGCGAACACACGCACACACTCGCACTAATGCCCACACTGTGCTCATTACTTATTTTCACAGTGGTAAATATTTGAATGATTCTTGTTTATCTTTGCTCTGAATGAATAGCCGCAAACCAGAGGTGAAGGGACACTGATGCTCTGCCAATCCAGAAAATGATCGTTTGGACGTATGAAGATAAACAGACACAGAGAATAAGTGACAGACGTCCATTCAACCAGAACACGCTGCTCAATAGGCCACTGATGCAGTTAATGCCTAATGAGAGTCCAGCACCTACATTCACACAGGATAAAGAGGAGAGTTACTGACTGACAGCACGCTGCTGCCCTGTCACCCAACGTAAAGATGTGGAATTATAAGAACTAGAATGAGATCTGTCAACGTTTAGACAATTAAATGTAAAATCCGCGGAGAAACAACCATTTAAAGTCTGGTGTTATTTAGTTATTGTTACTTTCTAACAAGTCAAGTTGAGGGAAACACAAGTACCTGATAACAATATCCTCTCACTGTCCAACTAACGTCCATGCATCCTTTACTTTGGCATAGTTCCTGAGCGACACACAACACATCCACGACAGGGCGACGCTCCTGAGAGCAAACATGTTCCGATGTCTGAAGTAACATCATACACAGACGTAGACGCCTGTTGTTTCTTACCAACCTGCAAAGTCTAAAAACATAAGTTCCATCATCATTGTTGAAATGTCTGTCTCGTGTCCTATTGTCGTTTTGCTTGATCTATCTATTAGCTACACTGCCCCCTACAATTTTCGGTGGTGGATCGTCTGCTGAGTGGCAGCAGAATGGGTCGTGACATCAGCAAACTCTTGTACATGTGTAGTAGAAGTTTTATTTTTAGGACAAAGTCACTGAACGCTTGAAGCTGTTATTCTCAGATTGACGATTCTTCACATGAAGATTTTATTTCCCAGGGAGCATCAGTTAGATCGGAGCCTGGTCTTCTTCCTGAGACGTTGCCAAGATGGCTGCCGAATGGCGAGACTTGCCTGTGAGGACTTTGATATTTCTCATTACTGGGAGTGCCACTTTTCACATGCAGCACGAGTTGGTAGTGATGTAGTAGCACAACCAACTTGTGTACTTGTCAGCTAAAGTACATAAAATCCATAAAAGGAACTCGGGTTAATCTTGTTTAGTCATAACAAAACTGTTAGCAGCGTCAAGATTGAGGGTTCACGCCCAATCACTGCTGCGCTAGACTTTTTATGTTATTTACTTTGAGCACGTCTGTGTCTGCACGACAGTCACCACGACTTGACGGACTTTGACTGAGGTTCGTCGGTGAACATCTGTCTCTGCTCACCAGCTCTGCTATTCTCATCGCTGCCTCATTCCAGCAGTCGTCCCAGCGTCTCTGTCAGGAAGCATCAGCGCACAACGGAGGCCGGCACCCAGGGACGGCCTCAGGCTGCTCTGCCCAACACACACCTGCCCTGCCTCCGCTCGGACCCCATGTCCACCGTCCGTCACCGCCCGAGGGAGAGTGGGCTGCGACTGGGGTGGAGATGGAGGGTCACAGGGAAGTGAAGGCTGATCTCATGGCACCTGATGCTCTGGAAGAATCACTTCTAATCGCTGCTGCTCTGAATGATGGAGACACAAACAAGACCAATCGACAACAGCAAACTTTCTTATTCACAAAACAATGAATTGATTAATTGAAAAAAAGAATCGGCAGATTAATTGACAATCAAATCATCAGCCAGTATGTTTCTTTAATATGAAAAGCAAGATGATGTAGTTTGTTTGGCTTAAAGAATGAAAATGTAGTTTAACTATCAGCACATTTCATCGTGATCCGTTTATCTCAGCTATTAAACGACCACAGATAAACACAGAGCGAGCTCTTCCCCGGTCGACCCTTTAAACTAATATTATCTCCATCATTGCCTCGATGCTGCGGTTGTGGAACGATCCTCTCGCTCTGTGTGCATCGAGGACAAGACTCTGGTTTAAAGTGTTTAAGTAAATCCTTTGATGGATGAAATCATTACATTTGCCCTCATGTATATTTCATGTCCCAGTCCAGATTAGTTATTCCAGGGTTTAGAGAAATGCTGAGTGTGATTTATTTTTAATCACAGCAGCTGTTTGCCTTCTCGTATTGAAGATCTCGCCTGACAAAGACCCAGATTGAATGAGACAAATCTGACCTGGTGCGGCCCATGCCATTTCTAATTCACACAGCGCTCAGCATTTTACAGACCAAACTGTTCAGCCGAGTCTGGCTCTGCTTCATATCAAATTAATTCACTCCCTCAAACACACATGTCCAATCAAACAGACAAACAAACACGACTGCGGTTTCCGCTCGTCCTCGCTGCGTCTCCCAAAGCAACATCTGAAAGTATTCTGATCAGCTTGAAATGTCACAAGTCCTAGTCACTGAGGATTCGATGAAAGGCTCCGTCCTGACAAGCAGTCGTTATTTCCGCAGTAACATTCGACTAATTGAATGTGTGCCGTTGTTCAGTTTTTGTTTCCGCGTCGCCCCTCGAGTCACCAGCGCCGCTTCCTTTCTGTTTCTTCTGCGCATTAGCGTTGATGTACAGCGTCGCCATGCCACCAGCTGCCCCGCCGCTCCGTGCACGGCTCCGGTGGGAGAGCGCTCCGTGAAAAGTCACATCTCTCCCTTTTAGTGTCCTCACATCTGCACTTCCTGCCTCCATCTCTTGTTCCAGCCAACGGGACATTATCGGGTTATGTGTGGTGAACTCTGATTAAACGAGTGATTACGAAAACACTTAACAGCGAAGATAAGAATTTTAACGCAGGAAAATTTCAGGTCTGTGATTGCGTCGTCTGTCGTGGAGTCTGTATATGAACACACTTGCTTTTCTCACTCGTAGATATCAGTTAATACGCATGTTCGGACTCACATCTGCACATCTGAATACAGCAGGAGGCCACAGGTGTGTGAGCCAGCTCCGCAGAGAGCCTCCCCTCTGATGTTGCATTGTGGGTAATAATAGTTAGCAGCAACAGCTGTGCCCCCCTCTCCCCCCCGTCACCTCTAATGTTCTCTAATCATCCCTCTATCATGCCTAATACCCTGCAGTGGTGCCCTCACAGCTGTTTGAGGGGCCCTGGGTACCAAGACACCTGTCAATCTCTCTCGCCCTCACACACACACACACACACACACACACACACACACACACACACACACACACACAAAACAAAATCTGAAAGTTTCTTTTATTCTGCTTCAGACTTTCACGTCCTCAAGGTTAAATGCAAACCCTGCACACACTTTTATGTTCATGCTTTAATGCGCAGATTATTTAGATGTATTTATTTTACTTTGGGTTTTTTTCCCCTCAACTGCAGTTAACCATCAATACAAACCATTTTTAACGCATCCTTACTTTGGTTTTCGTGTCTTTGCACAGATCTGTAGATAAAACTATAAATATAAGCTGAATTTGGCTTAAAAATAAAATCCTTTCAATACGAGTTCAAATTAGTATCCCTGGTTTCCTCCGAGACTTCCCAGAATCCATCACCCAGGCGGATGCTCTGCGCTCACAGATGCAGCTTGAATCTCTGAGAACCGCAGACCTCTGGGTGGTCTCTCCTCGTGTTTTACTGTCTGTCTGTCTGCATGTCTGTCCTAACCAGGCAGAACTGACTCCCATCCAACTTCTGACGGAGCCGCTGGTTAACACTGGGAGGTGTGTGTTTAACTGCAGCGACACCCTGCAGCCTCCTCAGGCGCATCATGACACTGCATGTGTGTGTGAGAGAGGGGGGGTTTGGGCCTGCTGCCCCCTGCTCTGCTCTGTCACAAATCCTGTCTGCTAATGACTACCAGCTCTATAGGACCCGAGGCAGCAGGGGTTAAAGCCCACCAATTGAGCGAATAATGAGTTGAATTAGGAGATTTAGGGATGAGGTGGAAGGCAAAGGGGATGGGTGGTGCTGAATGAAAACCAGAGGTGCTTACCACAAAGCTGCGGCGCAGAGACGCTGTGTGTTGGAGTGTAATGGGGGGTACGGGCGGGGTGGTGGCGAGGAAGCTGGGTGAAAGTGGTGCCACGAGAGGCAACGCTCAGATATTCCTGTCATGCTCTCGCAAACACGTTTACAGACGTAATATGCATTTCAGTAAAGGAGCACCGACCGGCCCACAAATATTATTACTGGAGCAGATGTCATCGCTGTGAGAAAATAACTTCTTAATCAGAACATTAAGTTCTGTTCACGTGGGGGAGGAAAAGCATTTCCATTCAGATTAAGTTGTTGTCGCATAATATTTTAGGCTGATGAGTTCGGACCATTGAAAGGAAAATGTGCGTCCCGGTGTTTATCAGTTTTGTGGAGGACGAGCGACGGTCTGATGAAGTTTATCTTTTAATTTCCCCGAACATCCACAGAGACGACTCACTGATATAATCTCAGGTGCAGTTTGCTCAGAGAGGAAGTGGCGGGTTTGAATAGCATCACTGCTCAGATTGAGTTGTTGGCCACTTATTAGCTTTATCTTGCATAATATTCTTCTTTACTGAGTTTGAGGCTGATTACTTTGGGACATTTAAATGAAAACCCAGCAGTCGGCCGGGTAGAGCCTCGCCTGAGTCTGTTTTTTAATTTCCTGGAACATCTATCGCACCCGTCTTTAGTAATAGTGCATTTAAAATGGTATTCTTCTGCTATATAAACACAGGAAGCTGCATTGTCATCCTCAGTTTCCAGTAAATTTCTCCCAAAACAGTCTCTCGGGTCATATTTTTTTCCGTTCCTGGTTTTCTTTTGATTGCATACATGTACAAATTAAGCAATATTTGGTTCCTGTGGCCACGCAGTTGACTCGGCCCAGCCTGCCTCCCTCAAACCAAGCTCTGTTCAAGTTTATACACAATGCACAACATTGTTCAAAAGACAGGGCGCTCTGAAATCGGCTGGAAGCCTTTGAACATCATTAAACAAGCCACTCCGAGCACAAACATAAACTCTGAGAGGAGTGATTCATGCTGAGAAGAAGACCTAGACGACAGGTCTGAAGATGATATCCACCAGAACCAATCAATCAAATTTGATTTGTATAGCTCATATTCACAGATCACAGCTTGTGTGATGGATTCCAACAAGGTGCGACATCCTTACATCCCTCAACAAGAGTAAAACTACCAAACAGAAACCTTCAGAGAGACACACGTGAGGGATCCCACTCAATAGATGCCTCAGTGAATTTCGAGTGAAATAAAGAGAAGTTTAACATCTGCTTTATGTCAAGGAGTGAAATTCTTCTTGTAGCTTGGTCAGCTCAGTTCTACCGTCCAGAAGCTTTCGGCAGGGGGACGGGCAGGTGGACTATTTTTAGATGGAAAGGCACGAAAAAGCGTCGAGGTGTCTCAGCAGGGATAATTATCTCCCGGTGAAAGAGTCGCAGCATGAGCTGATTGTCTTCAGACGAGTGGTAAACGCTTCTGCAGGACAACCTCCACCCTCCAGCTCATCACACTTAGGCTCTATTGTTTAGTGAAGGAGTGCGCACGCACACACACACACACACACACACACACAC